AGAGAGCTCCCGTCTCCAGCCAACCTAGCAGTTCGAAAGCAAGAAATTGCAAGGAGATAAATAGGTACTGCTTCGGGGGGAAGGTAACAGTGTCCCATGCGCCTTGGCATATAGTCATGCCGGCCACATGACCACGGAAACGTCTTCGGACAGCACTGGCTCTTCGGCTTGGAAACGGAGAGGAGCGCCGCACCCCTAGAGTCGGATTCACCTGGCTTTCGAGCAAGGGAAACCTTTACCTTTACAGTCCAAAGCAAATAAGGCAGTCCTCACCCAATTCCCTGTTGAAAATATCACATTGTTGATAAAGCGGATAGGTATTTGATTGTTCACTTGTCGACAGCTGCAAGGATTCTATACGCTAAATATTGGAAAACAATGGAGATTCCAACAAAACAAGAATATGTGAATAAGCTGTTTGAAACGGCTGAGAATGACAAATTGACATTGGAGATGAGAGCTGGAACAGAATGGACTTTTCAAAAGACTTGGAAGAGATTTTATGACTGGTATAATATAAGCATAATAACTTGATGGAAATTAGAGAACGCAGAAAAGATAAAGCTAGCAAAATAGACAATGAGATTAGAAATGTAACAGATAGATAATTGAAGAATAGAATATGGAATAAGCCTCCTGTTGTATGTTCTATGTTTGTTAGTGGTAGTTATGTGTTGTTTGTAGTGTATAATGAAAAGAAAAACTAATAAAAGTACCTTCGGGTATTAAAAAAAAAAAGATCACATTGTTGAAAGTCAGACTGGTCAAGTGCCCATGGGCGCCATGTTGCCTGCTAACACTTTTCCTGGTGCCCACTAAGTGGTTTTAAAAAGTGGGCAAGGCCAGGTGGGGGATTTTGCCCAGCAAAGTTTCTGATGGGCCATAGGAGTCTTGATAGGTTGTGCAGATTTTCAAAAATATTGCCGTGACCAGTTTGGTGTAGTGGTTAGGAGCGGCAGGATTCTAATCTGGAGGACTGGGCTTGATTCCCCACTTCTCCACGTGGCAGCCAGCTGGGTGACCTTGGGCCAGTCACGTTCTTTCAGAGCCATTCCCTCAAGATCAGTTCTCGAAAGAACTCTTTCAGCTCCACCTACCAGGGTGTCTTGTGGGGAGAGGAAGGGAAGGAGATTGTAAGCTGTTCTGAGACTGAGTGAAGGGCAGGGTATAAATTCTGGAGATCCATGGTGACGACGACTACTTCCTCCTCATCCTGCCTACAATCCCTTGCTTAGGCAACAGAAGCGGAGTGAAGGACTGAAGGAGTTGGGTTTCTTTCCTACTGAGCTGCCAAGAATGGACGATGTAATGCCATTTATTTATTCGTATGTCACTTTTCTCCCGAGAGCCTCCTTGGTGTAGAGGTTACGAGCGGTGGACTCTAATCTGTAGAACCGGGTTTGATTCCCCACTCTTCCACATGCAGCCAGCTGAGTGACCTTGGGTCAGCCACAGTTGTCTCAGAGCTGTTCTCTCAAGAGCAGTCATCTCAGAGCTCTCTCGGCCCCACCCACCTCACAGGGTGTCTGCTGTGGGGAGGGGAAGGGAAGGTGACTATAAGCCACTCTGAGACTCTGAGGCCGTGGTCACATGGTCATTTTGATCGGGCTGCACCGCTGTTCCCTCTCGCATTTAAAATTGCTGATCAGACACCCACATCTGTCTCCCGCACCGAAGTGAGCTCACTCGCGCGATCCTCCCGGTTCCCTAGCGAGTTTTCTGACACCGGGAAAATCAAGTACTTTCCGGGTACTTGCGCTTTGAATCCGCGATTTTGCCAATCTGGACAGCCCTCTCTCACAATGGTTGCGATTAGGTAATCTGAACATCCTTCTTCCGGTAGCCCCCCCCCGGCTTTCACCATTGTGTGCATATGTGCATATGCGCATGTGCAAATAATTTTTTTTAAATTGTGCCGCACTGCTACTGTCTGGACGGTACCTGGAGCATCGCTGCACGATGCAAGCGGTTGGGTAAGGGATGTGTGATCATCTGAACCCGCTTAAAAATATCCCTGATCAAATCTACAGTGGGAACAAATCGCGGTACACTTGCCGTGTGACCACAGCCTGAGTGAAGGGTGGTGTATCACCATCTCCTCGTCCTCCTCCTCCGTGTGAATGAAGGTATGGCGTCCCTGCTGGTATCCATCCCCTAGCCTGCTTGCTACTGCTTCTTATTGTACTTCATACTGTAATTCTGGGGATTTTCATCCAAACAGGCAACATTACATCCTAACAACTTCAACAGAACACGCATTTTAGGGGTGAGCAAGACCAGCACTGAAAATCCTCTTTGTCACAGTGGTGGTTTAATAGCCACACTGACAGGTTTTCCTTGGAAATGGTACACACAACTCTACCCGCCTTTACACTGAGCAGTCCCTTTATTTCTTCATTCTATCCCTTACAGGCTATACAGTCTTAAAAGCGGTTACCCAATCCTACTTTAACCACAGGAATTGTTTTTAATCTCCTCATCCCAACCAATTATCTCCCTGTGCCAAAGGGTGTTACCAGGACGTTCGCAGGTACAGCGACGCACCCAGACAATTTTACATACTAATAGGCCATTTCCTCTTGATGTGTTAATAGCTCCACCTGCCCTGGTGAGTACAAGATGTACAGTGGTGGAGCAAAGCTTCCATTCACATTGGGGAGAAAAGGGAGGGGTAGTCTGCCCTCTCTTTAAAAAACCAGCTTTGGATCCGGCCAAATTGACCAACTACAGGCTTATTTGCCTTATTTGCCTTATTTAGGCAAGCTAATAGAGAGGGCGGTGGCGACACAGCTGCAGGCCTTTCTGGATGACACCTCCGTGCTGGATCCGTTTCAGTCCGGCTTCCGCCCGGGCCACGGGACTGAGACAGTACTGGTGGCCCTCACAGATGACCTCCGTAGGCATCTGGATCGGGGCGGGACAGCGGCGCTTCTGCTGTTGGACTTGTCGGCTGCGTTCGACATGGTCGATCACCAGTTGCTCGCCCACCGCCTCGCCGACGTGGGGATTCGGGGGCTTGCCTTGCAATGGCTTGTCTCCTTCCTCCAAGGTCGGGGACAAAGGGTGGCGCTCGGGGAGAGTACGTCCCAGAGGCACCCACTAGTTTGTGGAGTGCCCCAGGGAGCTGTGCTCTCACCGATGCTGTTTAATATCTATATGCGCCCCCTTGCCCAGATTGCCCGGAGGCATGGGCTGGGTTGTCATCAATATGCGGATGACACCCAGCTCTATCTGTTGCTGGGCCAGTCTGGCTCTAACCCTGAAGATCTGGACCGAGCGCTGCGGGATGTAGCGGACTGGCTTAGACTGAGTCGACTGAAACCGAATCCGACGAAGACGGAGGTCCTGTGCCTGA